TCCATTTAAACAGGCCACTTTAATCCCTAATACACCAATGATTAAATCCAATGACTCTGTTTCTTTTCCAATTCCAATGATTGTACACAATCTCAGCACAAAGAATGGTAAGCAACTGATGCAAATCATAGTACATGGAACCAATTAACAATCCCTACACTATACCAAAACCAAGGCCTTCTTTTCCCTTGGAACAGGCAGCATGCACTAATCCTGATGTAGCAGCAGCATCCCTGCAACAGGCAGAGAACCAGTCTGAATAGCATCTCCAATCTCCATTCGAACATGTCACTTTAATCTCTAATACACTATTGATTAAATCCAATGACTATATTTCTTTTCCATTTCCATTTCCAATTCCAATTTCAACACACATAGAGACAGACATTCAGACACATACTCAACACACTAACACACACATAGAAACACGCATACCCACAAATCGACACACATAAGCGCGCACACACATACAAACACAGATCTATGTATATATATGTATATATATACACAAATATATGTATATATAGATTTTTATATACATACCTTCACAACAATCTTTCAACTCGATCGACGTTGAAGAAGGTAGCAACGAAAATCAATTTGTTCAAGTAGACAGTAAGCTCCATTCCATCTGTGCATATATGCATAGATTTGTGTATATATACATATATATACACAGATCTGTGTATATATATATATATAGAGAGAGAGAGAGAGAGAACGAGGAGAGGAGATGAGAGAGGGAGAAAGAGAGAGAAGGGAAGAGGCTTACTGCTCGTCGGTGACGGTGAGAGAATGGAGAGAGTGAACAGCGATGGAGAGGAGAGAGAAATGAGTGGGTTTAAACAATTTCACCAAAAAAAGCTGATTTTGCTGCTAAAAAAGTTCGAAACCTGGATCTCATTAATTCTCTTTAGCACGTCTCTGTTTTACTTGTTTTTTGGAACACAAATTTTTTATTCCCATTTTTTTGTATTTGTCTACAAAACAACTAATATAAAACAAAAACAAAAACAAAAACAGTACCCAAACATATTTTTGTTTTCATTTTTGACAAAAATTGAAAACAAAAATACAAAACACAAGACAAAAATGGTTACCGAACGTCCCCTTAGTTCCTTAGTTCTCAGATGAACATTCCCCAGATATTGGGCTGCAGCTTGAGCTACTCAATGCCAAAATCTGAACTACCAACCTTAATTATAGGTCCTTTCTAATTTAGATATGGGTGCCAAAAATGTGCCAAGCAGAGAATTTACGATAATACAGCCACGCTGAAGCTCTAATCCAATACAAATGTTATACAATGAGTGATATCATGTTAATGCATTCACAATTAAACAAGCTCTCATCTCGGAGGCCCAAACGTTCTAGACCTTTGACAGTCTTTAAGAAATGGTAATATCTTAAAATCAGTTCTGGGATGTGAGAGATGCAGCGACAACAGCCGATTTTCAAGTAGCAGCAGCAGAGGCGTACATGCAGAAGGCGCTTCCCTAACATTGGCTAAATTGCCTGTACCATTATGTCATTCAGGAACATATACGAACCTTGCTTTGTGTGAACTCAGGCCAAGTGAGCCAATCTAGATGCTACCTTCTTTGGCTTTCCATGCTAAGTACTTTGACTTCTCTTTCTGGTATCTCCTATATTCTCGAACAGCTGCTAGGAGGACGTGCAACGAAACAGGCAAAAAGAAGGGCTGCTCAAAAGAAAAAGGATAAAGAAGGAGAATCAATCCACAGACAAGGACCTGTAGCTCAGGATAGTACATCAATACAGGTTTTTCAAAATGAACACGTACATTGAGCAACTACACATTATCTGCACTACCATGCCTTTACAAGTAGGTTATATGCAACAGCTTGCAGATCTCAGGATGCATGGTCACTCGGACCATGGCTATTGTTTTTATTTGCCTATTCCCTGTAACATTTTTCCACTCCCCACCAGACTGATCAAATCTGGTCTATATGTTTTTTAGTTAGGCTAGATAAAATCAGGAACTTAACATTATAAGCAGTAGGTATGCAGTGGTTAACTAATTAAACATATAAAAATGTGTAGAATGCCACTGGATCTGCTCATGTCATGGTAATGCTACAAAACATACAAACAGTCGTGCTGTGCATGACCAGATCCACTGCCTGAGCATGTTTAAAATGATAGTGGAGACTATTGCCATCAGAAGTACAAACTTGTGTCGCCTTAAGTGCTGTGCCTACTAAAGAAACATGGTCACAATGCCGGTTTAGAACTGGACATCCAATCCTGTATCCAATGAATATGATTCTCAAAAATAATCAACGTGAACTCTCTTAGGATAAACCATAAAGTACTATATTTTAAAGATTTTTTTTATCAAGTGAATCGTATGGTTTATTTATCAGCTAAATTTTATTAGTCCACATGCTCTGTCACAGTGGTGACATGTGTGGAAAATAATCCACATTAAACACACGGAGATTGTATCTTACATTAATTGTTAGGAACTTGGCCTTAATGCCTAGTGCCTACCAATGCACATTTTAATGATTGATATTTCTCATAGTCAAGCTAGACAAGCCTCAGTGTTGCAGAACAAACCGAGTAGACAGCAAAGCAATGCTCAAAAGAGAAGTAGCTGACAGACATCATGGACGGGTGATAAAAGGCATCTTCTGCGAAAGATCTAGCTTGCCTTGAATACACTAAGAAAAGCAAAACAATATGTTAAAGTCTTGTTCACCAACTTGTGGACAGGATATCATTTAGACCATGCACATATTACAACTTACAAGTTGGATGGAACATACCAGATGAAGCATCATAATTTCCAACAGAGGCATTACTTCGAGCCAAATTTGCAGCTTTGAGAGAAAACTTTACCTGCTCAAGCAGATAATCATAGTCATATTGCCGCTAGATTTTCCATGGTCTCCAAAAATTAGAGGCACGGATTCAGAAATTTCCAGACAAATTAACAAAAGAAACTCCAAAATTGAGTTTTGATTTTCTTGACACATTAAGAAATTAGTCATTTTTGTTTCAATAGGCATAATACAAACCTACTCTTTTTATGTTTTGCACACACAGAGAGTCATTTCAGAAAAGAAAAGAAAATTATACTTAAAATTGTTTTCGTGTCTTTCTCCCAGATATTTTAAGCAACCTTTTAGCAATACCCGACACTGTTACCAAGATATTCCCGAAGTTACCCATCACACTTCTGACCCAGTATAAAATAACACTCAAGCAGGTCAAGCAACAATAAACAATTGAAAATGGTATACATGCATACGGTAAAGGCTGATATCACTAGAGACCAGTTCCTGTGGAGAGAGAGATGAAAACAGATGGTGTAATGTTGACGCATACACATGATCACATTCTTCTGAACAGATAAAAATATAAATTTGGAAGAAGACAAACAAATGATAATGCATGACCATAAACTCATTTCACAGGAAACCAGCAATCAAAAGTTGATGAATAAAGGTCAAACTCTTTGGCATTGGCACACTCTCATATGAACAATCAGTGCTTTGACTTTCAGTGTTTCAAAAAAAGGCAGATAAGTTAGACAAATATCAATCAACCCTCTGAGTTCAGGACAGGGGCCGAAATTCACTATGGTATCAAATAACTACAGCTGAACACACATACAGATAATAAACAAAGAGACTTCCTCTTAGTGGCTGACCTGTTTTCCTATCTCATCCATGATAATCATCCTTGGAAGTGATTGGACCTGCACAGAGGCATTTGTCACAACCCACAAACTCAATTCAAGTACGAAAATATATCATTAGCAGCAGGATTTACCAATCGCGAAAGTGACCCAAGGGTTGTACCGGATTGAAGAAGGTTGAAACAAGTGTGCTGCCGCGACAACAAATCCAATTCCCTACATAAGTGCAGAGAGAAAAACAATTGTTACTAACAAGAGGCAAACCAATTGAACAATCACACAGAATTATACATGTTACGGAATTTATAACAGTAACTCATGCCAATATCAAGATTAAAACATTCAACGGAGTGCCTATGCATTTTTGTGCCAGTATGGAGCTGGCAAAATCATGTGAATGATACAATTTATGCAGCCTTTTTGCACAAGGAATAACATCATGGCATTTAACTTCTAAAGCAGTCAGTGTGCTTTGGCTTAAGCAATTACAGTTAAACAAAGGTGGTGATATTTTTTAGAAGCATCCTAGATGATTACCAAATCTCTGATTTCCTTTTATTTTGGCACTGTAGTGAAGCCTTACCATTCTGTAAAGCCTCTGTTGCTGGCTAAAAGGATGTATGTGCCTGATGCACCAACATATAGGCTAGCAGATTTCAGACCAAATAGTTGCCGCAACTGCCCCATAAAAACTTCAAAAACCTTGTTAAGGTCCTGTTTCAGAATGTGCATGCATCAATCTTGAGAAAATGAATTAGAAGCCATCTGCAATAAGACAACATGGACTTCTAATCATTTCAAGTTGAGAAGAATGCAACCGCAAGTTATAAATCCACTTTTTAAAAGATACAGACAGATAGAGAAACTAAACCGTAGTCTTGCAGAATGATAGAAAAAGGTGATCTTGAGAAAAAAAGGTGGAAGACAGCGCATATACAAAATATAAGAAGTTGCATATCCATGCCAGTTAAAATTCTAGCATAGGAAAATGTTAACTCCTCTGACATATCACCTTCTTTCTAGACTTGAGATAAAAACAAATAATCAGTCACTGGAAGTAACTATGACGTCAACTCTCCATCTTCACATGCATCTTAATTAGCTGAGAGCAAATTTAGCAGCCAAAACCATTGTAGCACAATGTTATAAAAAGTGACAGCATTGTTGGAGAAGCATGACAGCAATTACAATTCCCACAATGTATAGTGAATGATGAATGGACTAATAATCTGTTTTAATGAGTTTGTTTGCAGCGAAACTTTTCGCTAAAACACATATACTCAGTCAGAGATGGGCTTCTGACCTTGGGAGAAATTTTGTGCCTGAGATGATTTACACTTTCTGAATCCCTCAAACAGCCTGGGGGGTTCCAAACCATAACACCTCCCCACATCTGCAAGATGCCATATTAGATCTGGTGATGTAATAAAATTTCACAAGAACAATGAGAGAGAAAGATGTATGACGCTGATGCTTCTGATGATGATAGAAGCATAATATCTCACCGGAGATATAAAGCCGTTTGTCATGGAAATTTCTCCATCAGGAAGTTGTAACAGAAGAGGGCACTCCTTCACAGAGGGTACATAACTGACAGTATAGAGATAGAATAGCCATATTAAGCATTGAATAGCTGTTATTATTGACTTCTTCAGATCTTTAATAGCAATGGCCACAACTGAAGTTGACAGAAAATCATGAAAATTTTGAGCAATAAACTTTATCTGCATACGTTCTTTTTCTTTATAACAATTTTTATTCAGATTATATCCATAGTGCAAAGTATATTCACCCTGAGTCATCTATAGTATTATTCTTTGATAGGGAACAAAAATTTCATTGATTAAAGAAAAGTCCATACAGTCCTTTCTTCGAGCAATCTCATCAATCTTTAGCACAAACTATTGGTTGATATATATTGATCATACACCTGGCATGATGTATCTCAACCTGGCAATAACTATATTACAACCATTGGAAAAAGGCTACTGTAAATTTTTCATTTCGATACAAATTATAAAAGAAAGGGATTATAAGAGCATACACCACAAACTGGAGAATTTTTGACCGCCCACCCGCTGCAATGGAAGTGTCCAAGTGCCACTCATTTGAATTCACCTATAACTTGTACAATGACACGAGTGAGAAAGAATAAATTACTCAACACACTAGCCACACAATAAAGACCAAGCATTCTATCGAGAAATGTACCAAGCTAATCCTTTGAGAAGTAGTGTTAGAGATGACAAAAAAATTATCCAACTATTGCATTGGACAAAAGGCATCATAAAATGGTACCAAGAAAGGTTATTTACTTATTTTAGAAATAATAGTAAAAGCAGATTGTGGAGACCACAGCATTACAAACAACGGAAGCCAATATTGCATTCTATCTTCATTTGCTATGCATCATTGTCCACAATTTGCCTAAAAGATTAAGAGATTTTAAGTGGTGTTTTCTTTAGGAGTGTACAATTAAATGATACTTCTTGTCATATTCTTCGAAATGTCCAATTTAATAATTTTTATTTTTGTAGATGAGAATGTGCAATTCACAGGAGTAGTCAAATGAGCATACAAAGAAAGGCATATCTTTGGTACTGAAAAGATAGCTCTCCCACTTGTCATCCCAATAAGAAAATGAGGACTTTGGAGTATGGTATAAAACCTGCAAGTACAAAACAGGGTTACATAGTAGAAAAGATAGACGTACAACTTAATTTTCCAATGAAACACCTGCATTAGAGTGATATTGGGTGATAAATTCCAAAAAAACAAAAGAAAGTAAGTACTACCTGAGATTCCACACTTATATTTGCTACCGGTTCCAAAGCCTCAATAACTGGAGCCAATAGAATTTCGTCTATCTCTTGAAAATTCCTGAAGGCAACGAGGGAATATTAGACGGACGACGTACATTTAGAGCAAAATTTTGAAAACTGGGGGTGGGAAGAACAGTTAGATCAAAATATAGTTCAACAATTCAAAAAATTTCCACAACTACGATCATCAAGTGACAGCACTAAAAAAAACAGTGAAGTGAAGAACTCAGATATACAATAAAGACTATGGTAGGCATTACTTGGAGAATTTTCCAAGCATACTGGAGAGTGGAGATAGTTAATCAAAACAATTTATGAATCTCAGACTTGTATTAGTTGAGATCCAACCTCTTCTGGTACTAGTTTAGTGAAGGAAACTTTCATTGTGGATATCATGATGAGATAAGTAGCAAGATATATGGTCTGAAGAATTTTTTTCCATTTTCTACCCTAACAGCATCATCACAACCAAATATAGGACACCTAGAAAAAATGTACTTGGAAATCCAACTAAATCCAGACATTTTCACCAACTTTCTCAGAAACATACTCATTGGAATATCTGTGGGCGTTAACAATCCATGTGGCATCATCTCTTTGATATCAAATAAAGGATTTTCAGAAAAAGAGAGACACATAAATGAACAGATTCATCATCATATGTTCCAATTTGAGATTATATGGAAATAATTGTTGAAAATGTCATTGGTAATAAGCTCAGATTACATGCGGAAGATATAACCAAGTTCCATACCAATCATAAATCCAATCACGCGGATCAGCATTTAACAAATTGAAAGAAAGCACAATCCTCCCATCAGCCCCCACTGGCATAAACTCCCCATGAATCACCCCTTCCTCTTTCCCACCATTCACAAAAACCTTCACAAAAATCTCCGCTATCTTCTCTAAGGCATTTTCCTCCAAAACCCTCCCTCGAATCCATGCGTGTCGATACTTTCCCACCACGGCCCTGATCTCCTCATCCGAATTTACCACCACAACACTATAAACCTTCCCACCATTATTTATATCCTGACCTCCCAATACAGACTCCAGATATTCATCAAAATCCTCATCACTATTCTCCAAATTCTCATCAAATTTGAAGCTATCAAGTACTCCACACTGCCATGATCTAGTGATTTTCCCATTCTGACTGTGAATGCAATTAGTATTGGCATCTATTGTTACTGAGACTGTGAAATTGTTGCCACCACAAGTTCCACAATCTTGATTGTCGCCAATGAATTTTTGCATGTGAGCAATAATTGAAAACCCTAGTTTATCAGCGGTGGACGAAGTTGAGGTGGCGTGGTTGAAGCCTACGAAAATTGCGTGGAATTTGCAAGGGAATAACAATGGATTCGACTCGATTGATGTTGACAGTAAATCGATGTCGCGGAATGGGAGTGGTGATCGGTAGATCTCTATCGTTTTCAGCAACAATGGCAGACCTGTATAGGAAATGAAAGCACAAAAACATAACAACAATTACCATCTCATTCGTATAACTATATAACGAGTGAGCGAGCGAGAGAACGAAAGAGAGAGAGACCTAAGAGGAAGGAGAAGAGAACTGTGAAGGTAAGGATGAGGCGCTTCAGTCCAGGTTTGGTCTTTCGCATGGTTTTGGGATCGAAGTTCGATGTTTCGGAGTTGTTGTTCTTCTTGTCGGCGGCTTCGGATGCGTCGTTGGAAGTTCCAGGAGCTTCGGAGATTTCGGCCATTGCTCAACTACTTGGAGCTTACTCTCGTTAAAGTCTTCAAGTTCAGCGTTCCACCATCCTTTCTTAGCTCTTCGGGGAAGATGGAGGGGTAGGTTGAGAAAAAAGATAAAAGTTAGAGATTAATATCAAAAGCAAAGGGAGAATTACACCTACACCCAAAGGTTTATCATTTAATCATTCAGACTCTTAATATTTAAAATATTATATATAAATCCCTAAAGTTGTTCATGTTAATAAATTACACATAGATCCCCTAAAATTTATAAATATATAATAATTAGACCATTTAAATTTAAAATATTATACTTAAACCAAAAATATTACAATCAAAGATAGAATATCAAATGTTTTAAATTTTATAACCAAAATTCATGTTCTATTATGATTTTTATTAAAATAAATTTTAAAAATAAAAATTAATTTTTTTCTTAAAAAATGATAATTAATATATAATTATTCTATTTAATAGAATTTAATTTTGTCATTTAAACAATCAAATTCCCTAATTAAACCTAGAAGATATTGTATTCATTACAATTTGACCCTTATTTGATTTTTTAATTTTATTTCAATAGATAGTATAATTATATATTAATTATGATATTTGACAAAAAATTAGACTTTTATTTCAATAAACGACATAATAAAATATGAATTTTGATTGTAAAATTTATGTTTTAATATGAATGACTTAAACCCTTTATTTAATTTTTTAGTTGTATTCTAATCGATAATATGATTGTATATTAATTATAATTTTTGAAGAAAAAATTTTATTTTATTTTTATTTTAATAAATGATAGAATAAAATATAAATTTTGGTTATAAAATTTATAATATTTGATATTTTATCTTTAATTTGAATATTTTTTGTCCAAATATAATATTTTAAATTTGAGAAGTTTAAGTATTACATATATATAAATTTCAGGGTTATAGGTATAATTTTTTAACGACAACAAGGGTCCAAATTTTACACACATAAAAATTTTAGGGTATTTGTATATAATATTTTATATATTAAGAGGTCTAAGTAATTAATTAACGAACTTTAGATGATGTATTTCTCCCAAAAGGAAAAGATGAGAGAAAATTTAGGAGAATCACACCCTATACTCTAAAAATTATTTTGTCTCTGATTAATTTTTTTATATTTGACCTTTAATATATTAAAATATTATAATTTGACCCTTCTATTAACGTATATTGCCGATTCTCTCAAAAACTACCCATTGATAGTTAGTTGAATAGGCGGCAGAAATTAACGAAAGGATCACATTTTTATATTTTTAATGCATTAATAAGACAATATGAAAATTTTAATTTATTAAGATATAAAATATTAATTCTTAAATGTGTTGGAACATAAAGTGCAATTCGCCTGAAAATTTAATTATCTTTTATTGTTTGAGACTGAACATGAGGAGAAATAAAACAATGTATATTAAATTCTAATAATTCATTTAACTAGACTTGACATTAGTCCAACTTATTTATTAATGAGATTGTGTTCTCAAATGATCTATATAACTCGTGAACTGAAAACTCATGATTCTCTTAATCAGACTCACCACTCATATTCCTGTTAACTGATATTTACACATAATCCAAATGCTACACTTAATCTAGATGCTACTAAGTATACGGTTTTAATTGTAAAAATATTCATATAATATCATCATATGAAGAAATGGAAAATAAACACATTTTTTGTACAATAAAAAATTAAACGTGTTTATCATAGCAAAATTATTTCTTTGTGTCTAACACTTAATCGACTCATTATCACTCCTATTAATATATTGGGATTGCTTAGAGGTGGCTGAAAACTTCAGCTTTCGGAGGATTAAAAGGAAAAAAAAAGTCTGGTCTGTTTGGATTCAAGCTTATTGGACGGTTTTTTTATCAACTTTTTAGGTAAAAACAACTTTTATCAGCACTAAAGAAAAGTAGACAATAAGATTTATCCAAAGACTTCCATGGAAAAATCGATTTTTTCGAAAACACTAATTTGATATTGAATTCGTATCATGCTAATGTCTTGTGTCAAAACTTATCAGCAGTACACTTATACAGATGACAATCATCAGCAATCCAAAGTTAAACATGGATCCTCTTACTATTTTTCCATAGAAATCAATATGCTAGTGCATCAACACATTATTATCAGTCCAATATTGGCAACCTGAAGCTGCTCTCATTTTCTCAAATTGCACTATAAATTGGACAGGCCTCAAGCACCACTCTCCATCCCGAAGAGCAACACACACTTTAGACACAAGGGATAGGTTACCATGGAGAGAGTTGCCAAGGCCAGCTTCGCCCTCGCCTTGTTTGTGGCAGTCCTTGCAACCCTCGGGCTTTTTGGGGCTTAGGTTGGTTCCCATTTATCCATCCATGGTTTAAATTCCCATGGGATGGTACTTTCCCCTGGTTTGGAGGTATGCACAAGCACAAAGTTGACAGGAAGGCACCAGATGGAAGTCCATGATCGTTAACCCTTGTTTATGGTATTAGGGGAGGTGTTTGTGTACATAAATAATGTCCACTCCTGCTTGTTTTACAAGTTGGTGAGGAGATTTGGATTTTGCTGCTTACTATGTTTGTGATGGGATATGGTCAGGTTCCTGTGGGTTTTGACTCATCTGGGGTTGTTCTCTGTTTGATTTCTATGCAATAAACCAATCTTTTGAAAGAATTGTGGTTTCTCTCTCTCTCTCTCTCACACACACACACACCCCGCATGAGCGAGCACAAAAAACACGGGCACACCCACACATTCATTCTTACATAGCTACAAGGAATAACTTAACGGGAAGCACCTTGCAACTTTCTTTCCTGATGCTTTTTAAGTCCCAAATAGATGATAATCCCAGTTCATAGTTATGCATAATAACCAAAATAAGCTTAAACCATGTTATAGGCTCTAGTATCGTATAACTATTACATAAGCTGAAAATAAACTGCTACAAACAGACACATTGTTTTCATTATCAGATGATGAGCATCAGGTGAAAGAAAAGAGTAAACCTCAGCGAGTCTGGGTTTCAAACCCTCCTGGACTGAACCGGCCAATAGGTTATAACTATCAAGAAAGTAAGAATCAAAGAGAAAATTATGCACTTTCTAGATGGGAATTCACTCACTCAAAAGAGAGAGAAATCAGCGTTTCATTGATAGCTTGAATCAAATTACTCATTAGCTAAAAACCAAGATGAAAATGTAAATTCCGCCTCAATAAGCAATTTAGATGATACAAACTCTCAATCCAGGGGGAAAAGATACAAAATTTTCAATAACACTGAACAAAAGAACTAGCCTCTACTCCAATTCCTCCTCCTATAGGAGGGGCTGAGCCAGAATACTTACTGTGCAATTGAGTAGATGCTTGATTAACATCACCTCTGACCAAAGCTTGAATAGTAGTTATGCCAAAAGTTCTCAGCTCCTATATCCTAGAGCTTGGGTCTGAAGATTTTGGTTGTCTTCTAACAAACGATCGTATTCCAGTAGTAGATCAGCAGCTTGTTTCTGGAGTGCAGCAACATGAGATTCAGCAGTTTCTACCCGTTTTTCCTTCTCTGCAGACTCCAACTTAAGCTTGCTCAAACTCTCAGTTAAATCTGAAATTTCTTTCTGGAGCTGCTTTATATTTTCTTTGGCGTTCTCCTCCTTTTTTTTAAGCTGCAGTTTTTCTTTTTCAAGCCTTTCAACTTCCTGTCTTGAAGCTACCACAGTACCTCTCAAACCGGCCAGTTTTCGAAGATAATGGTGCATTCGATCAATTAAAAATCCAAGAAACAGAGAGAACCCTGCAAGATCAAATTTGGGCCTTTAGGGGGATATAAAACTGAGCTGAAAAGGACAGATTCTAAAATTATCACTCACTGAAGTCCTGATCATAAGCCACAAGTTTCTTTCGGCATGTTTGTATTATTTGTTACCATTTCATTGTCAAATCACAAATCAGCCCACCGCCCCCTAGTATGAAAAAAGCTTCACAATAAAAGCATGTTTCAAATCATTTGGGACTGCCTCATTCCCTTTATTGGGATATAGTATGTCATTGAATCATATGCTTTCTTCTCATTCTTACTCTATACTTCCAACACAACAGCAGAACCTCTCCCTCTTGTAGCAATTTCCAAATTCAAATTTATGCTATAAACATTAAACTAACTGCCCTATCCAGCAAAGTTCCAGTTCATACAAAAAAAGAAAAGCCCCTAGCTGCCATTATAGAAGAATCATTTCCAACAAATCAAGAGAAAAATGCTTTACTAAACAGCTAATGAAGTTTGTTGTTATACAGAATCTAACGACCCTATTCTCCTCCTTCTGGTTCGAACCCATATTGATTTACACATAGATTATAGTGCGACGCCTTTGATATTCTGTGTCTTCTTTGCTTTTTGCATCAATATCCATCTCTTCCCTCTGCTAAATCTGTGGGAGGGAAAGATTTCCTTCTTCTGCTTCAGTTTTTTATATCACTAATTCATGCCTTAGTCACCACTTGAATCACTGGGTTGTGTACATGCTTTTGTAGCCATGTAGAGTCACACTTAACCAGACTAAACCAAGTCTTATGTCCCAATTATTTAGAGTCGGCTATATGAGTCCGTCTTTGCCATTCATTTCGGTCATGCGCTATACAAGTAAACGATTACCATGCTATAATTGCCCAAGTACCAATTGATCGTGTATAACAGCCTATTCTATAATTACATTTCGGTCTAAATAACTTGAATCAACGCCGAATGCCATAATTGCCCAAGTAGGCAAGTACCAATTGATCTCAGCAACATTTGTTCCCAAGTAAATTTGAAATTATTTTCCAGGATGGGATGTTACACAGAAACTCAAATTACCAATGAAGTTTCTATTTTCTTCCGATGAGCATTACGATTACCATGCTTCATGTGACTAAATTATAAATTGGAAGCGCACTCACAAACCATAGAATCCAAGATAACCCTGTACATCCTTTTTGTAGTTCT